AATATCACGACCGACAGCATAATTTTTCAAAATTTATGTTTTGATGTTATACCTATCCAGGACAAAGTGCAAATTATTAGGTACCTACAGTTTAGTAGCGTATGACATTTTATCAGGTATAGTTAAGACCTGATAATTTACGAACAGAGAATTACGGAATAAACATGTGAACTATTTATAGCACATGTACAACTTTTTAAATAAATCATTCTAAAATCATTAAAACAAATAAAGAAAGTGTCATAGTGTCAGTTACTCCGGTGGTAATTATATCTCACTCTTCTAGTAGACAGCTTAGAGCAACATCTTGTTGTAAGACTTGCATGATCCATTAATAAACATTAAACTTATATGGAGTTGTTAATGAGTTTATCCAGTATGAAGAAGCATAAAAGAAAGAAAACATTTAGGCGGTGCCTACGAGAAAAACAAGTGTTTGATGACGCACAAAGAGTTGTGAAATTATAATCAGCTTTATAAAATCAATGATTCTGAAAGAAAACAAAACTTGTTTTTTTACAGCTCGGAAACATGGTCTTTAAACAAAACATGCATAAACTCTTTACAATGGCTTGGTAAAATATTGAATTTCTGGAGATAAACATCCTTATGTTCTAGATCAGAATAAAAGTTGTTGACATAAAAATACAACAGTTTCTATGACAGTTAAATCAGTTTTAATTTCCATAATTGCTTTAACGCTAGTTACCGAGCGATTGATTTTTTAAAATTGAGACAGTGTAACAGAACACTAAAAGATTTATCATGTTCTCCTGCCTTTTAGGCCTTGCAAACATTTCATGGTAAAGTTATAGTACAGTAGAATCTGTACGAGCAGCCACCCCTATCCCCCATAGAAATTCTATTGTTTCATCTCATTAATCAACATTAACTCCTCTACGCGGCCAGCGCGAACTATTTTACTAATTATACCATCTTGTCATACTTCGTAGAACCTCCACTAATCCCATGGTTAATTATCTGGCCCCTCACCGATCAGGTAAAAAGAACTGTGAAAATAATAATAAACCCGGGATTATCTGTTAATTAATATTTTGTTTTATTTAAGGACAAACCCTTATCATTGTTTTCAAACGTAACCAAACACTATTTGATACTGATTGAATAAACTAAAAGTAGCTGAGTTTTGTCACAATCATCTAGTATCTATTTTCCCATTGCCACTTTGTTGCGAAACAGAAGTTTTAGCGCCTCCTATATTACATACAGAGTTACACTCCCTAAAATCAGGGTTTGTTTTTCGGGGGTCATGTGCTTTTTTAATAAAATAAAATCAATTCATGGAATTTGTTCACAAAAATGGATAAATATTATTGAATACATCACAGTGGCAGACAGTAGTATCAATGTTGGTACAAAATGACACATTTACAGAGATTTTGAGTCAAAGAATTTTCATTCCAAGCAAGTTTCAGCGACAGACAAATTTACCGATGCAGGTACTGATGTTTGTTCCCAATGCATCCAAGCATAAAATTTACTTGATGTCAGCATTAACACTGAGATTTTATTAATATAAAAGGTCACTCCCGTTAAGCAGTAAGTCATGAAAATTCCCATGAGTGGCTGCTTCTACTGTATTACAAAAAGGAATCCATTTAATTTTATTTGAGTAAAAAATACACAATAAACTTTATATCTTTAATCAGCCATAAGGTGTTTCAGCTCCAACTCTTGCATTAACTGAACATATCATGTTTCAAATCCATTAATTTAATGAAGATTTGGGATGATATTGTGACATGATCAAATATACATATTCCATAGAAATCCGACTATTTAACTCTGCCACCCACACCCATTACACCTGGGGTTTGAGCTTAACCTTCATTAACAAAAATCCTCCAAAAGCTTAAAGATTAGTTGCCAGGATGTGAACATTAACATGTGAAAATTTGGGCTACATTCATGAAAAACGGCACTTCACTGTAATTTGAAATCATGTCCAGTTGGCCATGTTGAACTTATGAAGCCAAAGTAATGAAATTTAGCCATTTTGATTATTTCCCTTCATCTTAAACACAAAACGAAAAATATCTAAAAATCAATGGGGTTAGATAAATTACTAGGGGTCAATAATTAGTTGGCACCCAACAGGCTTTATTATCGCCAGTTATCAATCACCTGAAATCACTAATCCAAGACTATTGATTATCGGTAATATTACTTGTTGATACGTACCAGATTATCTACAAGTTAATTTATAGAATGTCACCTACTGTGTTTGTGGTGATCCTACACTCAACGTTAGGGTACATCCAGAATAAAATATGATTAAAATTTTAAGATTTTTTACCCCACACCATCACTTCTTTAAAAGAATCGGTACTATCCCCGAAGAAAATTATTGTCAAAATATGGGTTTATCACCACTTTAAATTTTATTTTGCAAATTGTGACTTTGGCGGCCAACAGCATGAGCTCTGAAAGCAGCCAGTCACATGTAATTAGATGTTGATTATCATGTCATCACAGTGGTAGTTGAACAATAATGAATGGGATAACAAGCCAACAGTGAGGCTGATGTCCCCCGCTGCAATCCCAAAATAAATAGATGATATATTAATTCATTGCACATTTATCTTTTTGAAAGAATCAAGCACTCAGATTGAAGCCTGTACTTAGCTTAAGCAGAAAATGCGCATTATCGGATTTAGTCAAGGTATTGATGTAATGAAACTATACACAAAGTTTCACCACTCTCACTCAATTAGAATCAAAGTTATTGAGCTCCAAAGTCTCAAGTCTCAGCCATCCAAATTGCCTTTTGCTCTGCTTACCATGAGCAATGAGCAAAACATGCTCATTATCAAACATAGTCAAGGTAGTGATATAATGAAACTATACACCAAGTTTCATCACTCTCACTTAGAACCAAAGTAATCATGTTCTAAAGTATCTACCAATCCAATTGCTTATCTCTGCTAAACAGAAAATGTTATCTTCATACTCCATCAAGGCATTTACCTTATGAATGCCTACACCAAGTTGGCTAAGTAGGACGTTAAACCCCATTTCATTTCATTTCATTTCCTACACCAAGTTTGAACATTCTAGTTCAATTAGAAGTAGAAGGAAAGTTATTGTGTCCCAAAAAGTGTGATGGATAGACGGACGGACATACTGATGGGGGACGATTACCACGGTAACCATTTGAAGCCATTTTTCTTTTACAGAATTTATGGTTGTCATGTGACTGCTGTAAGAGTCAATATAGTAAAATTTAGTAATCTTTTAAGTTGATTTCTTACAATACCTATATTTTCTTAAACATACACAATATATCATTATATCAATTCTGCAGCGATAAAGATCACAGACAATAATTACAATCTAATTTCTGCTGTTTATTTCTACGCAAAATGGCAATGACTTGTAGTACAAGGTAAACAACAGAGTTAAGGAGATTACTGAGGGATTGTCAACTGTCAAGTCATTTGATCTTTTATGACCTAGAATATTTATGTGGTTGAAGGAGAATATGTGTAATTATTGCTTATTAACTGTTGATTATCCTTTGTATTACATAACTGAAACGTGTCTGTTCATTTGGAATAATTAGATCATTATACGATTCTATAGAAGAGTCATTGATCAGATCATAGCTACATAATAACACATCTTATATAATACACAGACATCTGCTCCAAACACATTTACAGCCATTCATTATGGTATGTTGACAATAGAATATTCATAGAAAACAAGGAAATGAAATGAAATTTGGGTTTAACGTCTTACTATTCAGCTCCAACTGGGCTAATGATGACGGGCATGTCATACTGAGTGCTATGAGGGAAATTTTGCCTAAAAAACGACGCTACGGCCTAATCTTATATCAAATTCCAATTGCCAAATGATCTTTTACATGCGCGTCAATTTGTACACAGGACCTTTCTCAGCTAACACTGGGATCGATCCTGCGACCTCCAGGCTAGCGAGCCAGCATCTTACTCACTTAGTCATTGTGGCTCCAGAAAACAGGGAAAGGAAAATGTACATCATCAGACTTGGCCAAGGTATAGATGTAATGAAACTATACGTTTCACGGCTCTCACTGAACAAGAATCAAAGTTATCATGCTACAAAGTCTTGATTGATCAAATTGCTTACCAGAGAAAAGATACCTTAACTACTGGAAACCAAGAGAAGAGGTACCTGGAACTGAAGGAAGAGATACCTTAACTATTGGGAATCGAGAGAAGAGGTATCTTATCTACTGGAAATGGATAGAAGAGATACCTTATCTACTGGGAATCGAGAGAAGAGGTACCTTATCTATTTGGAACCAAGAGAAGTGGTACTTAGATTACTGAAAATGGAGAGAAGAGATACCTTATCTACTGGGAACCAAGATAAGAGGTACTGTAACTACTGGGATCCAAGATAAGAGGTACCTGAACTACTTGTAACCGAGAAAAGAGATACCTTAACTACTGGAAATGGAGTCAAGAGGCACCTTATCTACTGGAAAGCGAGATAAGAGATACCTTAACTACTGGTAAGAGGTATCTTAATTACTTTAAACCAAGTGAAAAGGTACCTTAACTACTGGGAACTTAGAAGAGATATCTTATCCACTGGGAACCGAGATAATGGTGTGATAAATTCAGGTATTTTTAAAAGGACCAAGTATCTTATTCCATTCAAAAACTGTACATAAGACTAGTAAAAGATGGACCAAACAACCCTACATTTACGTCACATAAAATCGAACAAAAATGAAGCCTGTTTATCTATTCATATCTAAAAGTAAAGCATTATAATATACTCTGAACAATATTACTCCAAATCAATAACGTGTTTGGGGTATAAAGTTTTTTTATAGACCTTAGTTGTGTTCACATTGTATCACACAATTAACTTGACTCGCTTTATTAATTTGTTTCGGTTCAAGAAATATATCCAAATTTATTCATAAGTACATTATATAAAAGTGCAAACTTATTATTGTATAGTTATATTAATGGTTGACTTACCTCATTTAATAGACTATCTGTACTTTGAACTTTATTTAAAGATGATCGCCTTAAACAGCCCTTCACAGCCTTTTCTATTCTATGATTGAATTTCATGAAAGTCACATAACAAAAATATAAGAGAAATAAGATGAGCGCCTCCCAATACTTTATTTTCTGGTCGTAAAAAAAAACAATCAACAATATCAGATCCAGACTGTAAAATGATACATCACGAAATAAAGGCCACCATGTTAGTGTCAAAACTTCCCGACTAAATAACGCACACATTCCTATTACAAACAAAATGTTAAATACAGCAGAGCCAACGATTGTTCCTATACCCACATTGCTTTTTGCAAAAAAGACACCAATGATACTGGTGAATAGTTCTGGTGCACTACCACCGGCAGCCATAAATGTGGCACCAGCAACGTCTTCAGAAATGTTCAAGCGTTCTATAATGACACCGAGAGATGGCACAAAAAATTCATCACAGACAATAGCAAGAGCAACAAACATATAAATCAAACCAATAACATGTAGAATAACGGCACCGTGTTCTCTTTCATACTCGCTAAAAAGATCTCTAGGGTATTCACCTTGAGTATCTACGGCTGTTCCGTTGACATTTAATAATTTACGTTGTGAAACGTAATTGTAATCTAATCCAACATATGGGTCTAATTCAGCAGGAAAAACACTAAAAGCTGCTGTTCCCAAGGTTAAAAGATAAGCAACAGTCAAAAATCCTGTTATCACAAATAAACGTAGAGATCTTGACCTCCGTCCCATTACAGATCGTAACTTCCAACGCATGTTAGCCATTATGATTTGTGATCCAAATATGAAGTAAGAGTGGAATTTCTGACGGTTTTATTGGTGAAGATCCAGTTTCTGGTGATTCTTTTAGTTTCACGATTTGGCACAGAAGAAAATTATTCCAGTATTCTGAGAGTGTCTGGTCACACTGTGGATACTATGACGACAAATAGGCCTACAGTGCATCATCATTCATTTAAGGAATCCAAGCGTTGTTATGTTGTTATAATGTTATGACTTCTGGGATTCCTGTAAAAAGAAAACAAAAAATTTTACTGAAACTAAAATGTCAGCAAACAGCTTTTTCAAAAACACAAACACATTTTGTCCTTCTTCTTTAGTATATCAGATTATCCAACCCTTTTGGTGCCTTTCTTCTTTCATTTTAGCTTCGGTTTACGCAAGCTCTCGTTTTCCAATATCAATTACATTTGAATTATTTGTGTTATTATTGAATTAGCAGGAAAAAATCTCAGAGTAAATCACAATGCCTATTGTATTCTTACGCATTAGTGCCACGGATATGCAATACCGAGAACACAAAAACACTGTGATGACAATCAGTGGATGGATATATTATTTTACATAACCAATCATTTTAAGCCCCTTTCCACAAAGCCAAATTCTATAATTCATTCCAAGATCTATCAAAAACATTGGCTGTCTGTAATAAAAAAATAAAGAGAACATTGTTCAGAAGCAGTACATCAAATCAAATGAAAGAGACCTTTCTATTTTCTGATTAAATAAATGTAATAAAATTTATGTGTGAATATTTCATTATATTTAATCTCAATGCTTTAAAATACCATTACTCCAGCGTATTTTATCTTATCTGGCTTATTTCTGATAAAGTTAATATGATAATTTCTTCCCATTGGGTAAAGCCTACACTGTTATTGAACTGTACCTTTCGTTCTGATTCGATCCCGTTGCCGTGAGCCAAGCCAATAATCAAGCCCATGGAAACCAAGCAAAGTGTTTTATGTTATATATGTATTTACACTATCGATAGACATCAATTTCGTCACTTCTTCAAGACACTTAAAAACAATACAAACATTTATCACGATCAATACACGTATGTCGCAACAATCAACATATTCTTACATTGTATCAATAGAACAAAAAATGGAATAAAAGAAGAAGAAAATGCGACTTCTAAAAGCATGACTTTTACATTAAACAAAAGATGATCTTTTCACGCGATGAACAGTTTAAAGACCGTTGATATGTGTGAGGTGAGAACAGATAAAATAGTCGATCATATTCCACGATTGATTAGTTTTCAAATGGGCTGGAAGGACAAGAATTTATATCTATAGATCGAATAAACAATATATATTTAAAGTACTGTCTAACATTGTCTAATATAAAATAATACATACGTCAAATCTGATCTTAGAGAAGAAATGAAGCGTGAGTACAGGAGGTTTATTGGGATTACTATAAAGGTCATTAACCCTCTGTTATAGAGGAAAGAACGCAATTGAGAAGCATGAATGAGACTCCTTCCAGTTAATATGATTTAATACTGTCGACTAAAAAACTGGAGAATATTCCCCAATTGTTTTTCAATATTTTATTAAATAAAATAATGAAAGGGGTTTCACATATTACTTTTCTGCACCAAACAGGCTTATGAACATGTGAAATAATAAAATGTTAAGACAAATTACTCCGACTATATATAATGATTGATTAAAACTACAATGGAAAGTAGAAATTCTTCAACTTCTAAAGACAAGGATTAAAATCCCAACATTTGCTTTGGTCATTACTTCCATTTACTCTATTCAATTAATTCAGCCTGGTCCATTTGGCAAAATTAACCTTCATTGAGATATAATATTTTCTACTTTAAGACAGTTAAAGGCTCAATACCACTCTTGTTGTAACTGAATAATATGTCCCAATCTTTAATCTGGTCAACAAATTGTACTATTTTAGAATATTTCAATTATTTGATGATACAAATTTCATCTTAACACACCTTATTTAAATTTTTTGAAAAATTCAACATAATGGTTTGAAACGTCTAACGTAAACCTTTTCAAATGAAACTTCGATTTAAAAATATTTTCGAACCCTCTGGACAAGTAAAATAGGATGTAATGGATAATTTACCAAACAGGTAGGACACTTAAACATCTAGTACTTAGATAGAGATATTATTTATTGTCCCTTTAAGAAAACTTATTAATGAGCGAGATTCGCCACAGTAATTTGTGTTGTAGTCTTTTACTGGCTAGTAGGTTATGTTCACCATCCAATCAGGATTCCCATTTGAAGGTGAGGTTTTAAGCCTTTGAATTCAATATTTAACCTTCTAAATCATTTTATTGGAGACAGTTTGGTTAGAAATTTTGTTCTAAAAATTTGACAATATTATTAGCACTTCAACCTCACAAATCACATACTCAGAAAAAACACAAACTGACAGTAATTTAATTAATGGTGATCCAATATCTGCTACCATTTAAAGGCAATGATAATGTGATAATGTCACAAGGCTCAACAATTTGGAGAGGATATGATACCCCACCTGTGGGAATTGGAAATATCCTATTGATCACACCCAAATATCTTCTATTTTCCTCGAACGCCACTATACCTCTAACCATTTCTACCTAATTCCAACGATAATTTTGACAATTTTGACGTTGCACTGGATTTTTATTCAATTGAAATTATTACAAATTTTGTTATTGAGATATTATATTATGAAACAGTCATAGGACTTTGATGTTGTCTACAAGGATGTAATCTACTTTCAAATCCAATCTTATACTTATCGACATGGTAGAAATTTAATCCAAAGTCAATATAATTAGTACTTATATAAAGTAAGCTTTTGATCAATAAAAAGTCTTAATATTTTCTTGTTTTAAATGGTAAGTAAATATATAATTGGTAGATCCTACATGTCTAAATTCTCAGAAATGTAAAATTCTTTAGTCCGATTCTAAACCAGTTTGATTTGAACAACGTTACACTGACTAATTATTGAAGACATTATGTTTTTTGTATCATTCATCCAAAATACATCATTTGAAGAGACATTTCATTTGTTACAAAACCATAATTTTCTTGTTGCAGTGTTTTTAAAATGTATGCAACAAGAAGTCTGATTCAACTAGCACAATCAGACTGAAAATAGTTCCATTGTTTACATTTTAAAAACTTTTATTATGGTATAAAAACAATGAAATTGTTGTGAACAGAATTGAATGAACTAAGTTCGGTTTTTCCAAATGTAAAAGTCAGTGATCCAATTATTCCAGCGTGGTTTCCCCTTATCAGTGGTGCAGGACGGAGGGCCTGACAAGGACAGCTGTCTAGTCGTTCGAATGGGACGAAAAACCAAGGCCCCGTGTACACATTGGCGTGCACGTAAAAGATCCCTTGGAAGTTGGAATTCGATATAAGAGTAGGCGGTAGTGCCGCTGCCCGGGCAAAATTTCCCTCATAGCACACTGTATGGCGTATGCCCGTCTTCATTAGCCCAGTTTAGGAGCAGAACAGTAGGACGTTAAACCCCATTTCAATTTATTTCATTTCAGTGATCCAATTATGGTTCTGATGTGGGAAGAGAAAATCTGCTCAAACCAAACTAGTTAAGATTCGATCGTGCTGGCTAAGAATTTAAGAGAAATTTCATATTTTAGAGAATGGAGATTCACAGGATCAAGTTATCATTTTGCTTTATTCATAAACAAAGTTTACTTTACGTATATTCACCGTCTTAATCTATAAAAGGTCGGATGTCGAGAAAATAAAAGCTTCAAGATCGATTCCTCTTTCATATTGTTATAATACTTAAAAAAGGAGATTAATTTTCCTTCATAAAAACTAATACCTTAATGGAGATAATATGTATTTGGTTTTAGAACCATATTCTGTGGCACATAAATTAACCAGGAAATTGGTCAAATATGGAATTGAATTCAACCATGAACTGAATTCATTTGCTAAAATTATTTGTTCAAATGTCAAAACTTAACTGATTTATTGTATGTCTACACACGAATTAAGGAAATCTAAATACATAATGTTGTGGCTTGAATAACAAATGAAATGAAATGGGGTTCAACATTCAACTTTCTGCATCAACCGGCTAATGCAGACTGAAGCTAGGATAACAAAAATTTCACAATGATAAATTTTATATTCACAGACAAATCAAAATGAATTATCGTGCAAGGTGCCTCTAGTGTATTCATGTTCATTTTGCGTCGATACTCTGTATCCCAGAATAGATTTTAAACGTCTAGTTCTGCAATATTGTCGCACATTAAATATTGTGACACATTAAGGGTGTTTAGTAACCACGTCTTGGTGATGCCACCCACGATAATACTGTAAAAATGGATTTCTACAACAATTTTCTCACCAGAACATAGGTTCTATCAATATATGTACATCTTGTTCTACACCAACTGAGCTAATGAAGATGGTTTATCATCAATAATGATTCATAATTTAATTAAAACAAATATAACCAGCGGTGGATTGACCATGTCCATTGCCTGTGGTTGGAAAATTGTAATTAACACTGGGGGTGAATTGTATAGAATATACTAGAATAATGCAAAATACTAGAATAATGGAAAATCATAGATGCTGAAGACAAGAAACCTAAGAAAAATTTAAATAATTTGTAAAATTTGTCAGAGAAAATGACAGGCAGGATATAGAACATACTAGAATATAGAAAAATCATAAACTTTGAAGATAAAAAAAAAATAAATAAACAAATTTATTTTTAATAATTCATAAAAATATTTGTGACAATTCTATCATGGTTTGTAAAAATGCGAAAGGAATGAGACTAAGAGTGTATAAGTTCATCTATTTGCGTGATTACTATATATTTTCTGAAACTCTCTTCTCACATTAATTTTGATGTCGTTAATTTGAATATAAAATGAAATAGGATTTAATATCCTACCCTTTTCTGCACCTACTGTTCTAATAAAGACGGGGATTTGAACATGACCTAGGGTTATGATCCCAGGACACAAACTTTCTAAAACATCCCAATATTACGAACATTACAATAACATTAAATTTCATATCCACTGAATAAAATTGTGTTGAATAAAATTACTTTTTTATTACCGATCGACTTTTCGACTAGGTTTCTTAGTTCCAGTTCAATTACTGAATGCCATTGTAAGAAAATTTCAGCTAGTTGAAATATCATGATAAATACCTTTAAAACAAAATCGTAAGATAT